TAATTCGCATCCATTATTATGTGTGACAGCAGAGGCAAGCTCGGTAAGATTATCCCACAGGATAGTCTGGTTCTCCGTTAACAGTATTGACAATGAAAAGAATCTGTAACATAAAGACTCAAATCTTAGGTATGTCTTGTGCTTGAATATAGTAGCTGATGCCCTGTTCAATAAAATAACTAAATACAATAGACACATCCCTATTTTCTCTAGTTTTAAGCAAAGTTACTAAATTCATTCTTTTTTTGCTATTTTTGTATTCGTGATTACAAGATGCTGTCCTCTGCAGTTTGCTAAAGATTACACCAGGCAGAGCACACAGTGAAGTGACATGATAGTTCTGTTTCCCCACCCAAATGCCTACAAATCAGACAGGAGAGCAAACAGAATTCTGTGTGTTCATAGCACCAACCTGCCAGGTTCACACTGCGCCCCTCTTCTCCGGAGTCATCCTGTCTTAATGGCATTTGTCCTGTTCCTTGCTTTTTGGTAATTGCATGGACTAATTGGAAGTGTGACAATGTGATCAATTCATTGCTTATTGGGCAATTATTATTTCTACCCTGTTGTTGTTGACAGTACCTGACTTCTACGGGATCAATATATTTATGTTGCTATTTAACAACAAAGTAGCTTGCATGTGTTTTTGTATGACAGTTAGCTTGTTTACTACTTACTGCAGTTCTCTTTGAGTAAGGGCATTCGGTGACAGATGTGACAATTCCATTCCCCCACAGGGTTACAAACTCACCTCTGGGATTCAGAGCTGAGAAAGGCAGCCTGCCTGCTCATGACTGTCTTACATGTATGCCCTTGTTCCTCAAAACCAGCAAAATTGGAAGAATTGGAATGGAGTAGATCTGGATTCAAAACTTATCGACGTCATTTACCAAATGCTTGGCTTTAGATTCACTTGTCCTGTCTTTAAAATCTCTCAGGGGGCTGTCTTGCATTTTAGATAAAGTGATGTAAATGAGAAGTCAGCAAAAAGACCTATCCAGACGGATGCCCAATAATCACGGATTGAGACTGAAAATAAAAGCCGGATAACTAGTGCAAGGTCCTACGGTGTGAATGGGTAGCTGAGGTGAGAAGACAAATGGCAGCAGCTGAATGGAAGGCAAACTGGAAGGGGAAGCCTTTTCTTTTTCCTTTTGGCTAAATAGCACTGCTCCTTCCCTGCTGCTCTGTGTGATAGACTAATTCATTATGAAAGGCTTTCAAGATGTCTCGTAGGTAGCTAATCATCAGCGTTGAAAAACAAATCATTGCTCTTTCCCCTGCTGTTAAAACCCCTAGAAAGAAACATTTCATTTCCAGTGGCTTCTAGCTGACCTCAGAACCAGAGCGTAGGTGCCTCTGAAGCTGCTAGAGCAGCGAGTGCATGCGCTTTTTAATAGTGTATTCATTTTTTAAAATATATTTTAATGATTTTTTACAGAGAGGAAGGGAGAGGGATAGAGAGGTAGAAACATCGATGAGAGAGAAATATTGATCAGCTGCCTCCTGCACACCTTCTCCTGGGGATGTGCCCGCAACCAAGGTACATGCCCTTGACCGGAATCGAACCTGGGACCCTTCAGTCCGCAGGCCAATGCTCCATCCACTGAGCCAAACCGGTTAGGGCAATAGTGTGTTCATTGATAAACTGTAATCAGCATACATGACACAAAAACTTCAAAAGGCAAATTAAAGTTATAGTCAACTGCCCACTAGTGTTTTAAATCAATCAATATAGCATTCGTTTTAAAACAGAAGCTAGGAAATTACCCCTCAACAAATTCACATATTCATGTAATTTGTAACTACATTGAGGCTCTCCAAATAGATGGAGAAATGGCCATAACACAAAAGCTCTGTGTTAAGAAAGGCGTTCCTCTTGCAGGTGCTGACCTCTGAAATACATCTGAGCAGTGCATCATACCCAAAGAATGTGTAGATGTAATTCTTTTTCTTTTTTAAATCTTTAAGTGAGGAAACATGCTTGTACTATAATGGGAACAGGAAAGAAGAAAAAGAACATTTGGTGTGAACTTGGATATGCCTCTGATGTTGCCTTAGTAAATTGTTCTCCTTTTTGTCGAATGCCACTCCTCATTATGATCTGTCACAGGAAGACTCAAAGGTTACGTATTGTGCTTGAAGAGAGTCACCTACAGCCTCTTTGAAACTGTTTTTAGACCAAGTACATTCACCGTATCTGACAAGTAAAACAAAAACAAAACAAAAAGAAATTGGTCACAGAGGTCATTAATTGTACAGCTTGAAAAAGAGAAATATTTATCTGCTTTCCTCCCCAACATGCATAATATTTTATCGTTTGAATTATCATTCCCCATGTTATCCTTTCATATCTCAAGGTTACATATCTGAATGACATAAAATGAGTAATCATAGCTTACAGAAAGGGCCTTAGGACAATTACATAGCAGAGAAAGAAACCAGCATACATACATTATTCATAATATTATTTTGTGGGCCCCTCCACCTAAGAAGACCCAGTGATATTGAAATGTGCCCCCCACCCCCATGACTTGTTGGAGAGGCCCACAGCCAGGAGCCAGGGATGCTGCAATTGAGTTGTCAAACTGTCCTGATGTCTTGTACAAGCTGAACAGACCAATTTACTGCAAGGCTGCATGGGCTGAAGGCTCCTAGCCTGCCTTTCCAGGGCTTCCTCCTGCTGAGTTATCCTCCTGGACAGCAGGCTCCCTCCCTTGCAGCTTCCAGCTGCTCCTAGAGTCCTCCTGACCAGCCTACCCCAGGTAATAACAGTGGGTACTGGGTTATCCTTACCTGTGACCCGCCTGCTGGGCCAGGGAGGGCAGAGGCCCCTGCCCTGCAGTCAGAGAGCAGCAGCTTTGTGTGGTGTGCTTGGTGAGAGTTTTGAATTCCGGTGGCAATTTGATTTCATTGTCTCCCCCATAGTAGCTCCAGCTCCTGGTTTGCAGGATGAAAATAGGCAGGCTTTTAGGGGGAAAAAAAAAAGACAACTTCTCCCACACAGCCCCTGAGTTTCTCTGCCAATTACTAACTCGGGAGCATGGGGGTTGCTTCGAAACGCAGCAGTTCTGGCTCTGCCCTCTAGGTGGCAGCGGTGCCCCACCGCAGAGGCGCCAATGCCCTCTTCCCCGACTTGAAGTGTTAATGCAATTGACCAATCAGTGCTAAGATGATGGGAGGTAATTGGGTAATTGTATTTTACTGATCACAGAAGAGAGAGGGGAAGGGAAAGGGGAAGGAAAGGGGGTGCAGTCCGAGAGGCGATTTGGGGGAGCTGGGACCCTGAACGTTTGGACGTGGCATTGGCCGAGGGAAAGCCTAGACTCGACCTGCTGGCGGCACCGCGTTTATTTATTTGGGGGAAAAGAGGAGAGAGGGAAGCAGGAGGGGAAGGAAGAGAGTTCCAGTCGAAGTGGATGGACGGGGACCGGGGTTTTGGCCGCGCTGGGAGCCCGGAGGCGGGGCGCGGGCGCCCGGGTCGGCGCGGGGTGGCTGCGCCCCTCGGATCGTGTCTCCCGGCGGAGGACTAGCCGGCGTGGGGACGGTCTGCGCCCGGAGGAAACCAACTTGTGGCTCCCGAATGCACCCGACGCAGCTGGGAAGGAGATGAAAGCTGCGGTTTCATTCCAGGAGGCTGCGAGGAGCCAGCCGCTAGGATTCCTTTTCCGTCGCGCTTTCCTTTCCATACGATTCTTCCATCCGCCTAACCCCGCGTCCTTCCCCCCGCTTCGCCCTCCCCGTGTGAAATTAAAGCACAGTTCGAACTCCTTTCGCCGAGGCGCCCCCCGGATCCGCCGCCCGCCGATGGAGGAGAAGGGGACCCCGGGGTTAGCGGGGGCCACCGGCGAGGGAGCGCGTCACGCGTCTCCCCCGTGATCCCGGCCCTGCTCCCCGAGTTCTGCGACACCTGCAGGAACCGGACGGGTGCCGGGGTGGGGGTGGGGACCGAGGCAGCCAGAGCCACCCGGAGCCTTTCAGAAAGAGAGAAAGAAAGTAGGGGGGTGGGGGGGGAATGGATTTCTTCTTGACAGCTGACGGAGCCCTGAAATTTTCCTCCCCTACCTCCGCCCCCGCCCCCCGCCCTCCATTTAACGTGAGATTATGAAATTGCAGAGGCGGTGGAGGGAAGGAGACGGGATCTAACAGGGCATTTGGAGGGAGTGGGAAAGGTGGCTGGCCCGGTGGCTGAAATTTAAAAAAAAAAAAATCCAATTGCGCACTGGGTTGTGATGAGAAATCTAATCAGATCTTTGGAGAAGGGGCCGGCCAAGGGGGTGATGAGTAGGGGGAGTTGATCCCCACATTCTCTGAAGGGGGTGGGGGTGGGGGGAGCTGGAGAGAGGAATCGACGATGTAAAAGGAGACTTTTTCCCCCGGCGGCGGTGGCGGTTGGGTGCCTTGCAAACATGAAGGATGCGGGACGCAGCCCTCACTTGGAACAGAACGCGGTGGACGGTGCGGGAGAGCAGGAAGAGCGAAGCCTTTTCCCCTGAGACCTGGATCTTCACACACATGTGTCTCTGTGCCCACTGGGAGCATTGAAACATGAACTAGACCAATGTCAGAGCCGCGGGAGTCGGTGTGCTCCGACATAAATAAATAATAAACCGCTGCCCCCCTCCCCCCCAAAAAAAAGGATGATTGGAAATGGAGAACCGAGGAGCCACACAAAAAAAGTATGTTCGTTTTTTTCTACAAAGGAGGAAGTAAGCCAAGGATATATATTTTTGGAATGAAAAGTTTGGGGCTTTTTTTAGGAAAGTAAAGACCTGATATGGTGGTGTTTTCGAGGAAATTAATAATACATCCGCAAAGAAATTGTGGAGAAGAAAAAGTTGACCGCGGCAGAATGAGGCATTGATTGGGGGAGCGGCACCCCGCAGAGCACAGTTGGATGTGTGCCTGTGTTGACTAAAATTGATGGATAATTGCCATTGGATTTGTCATCAACCTCCTTTTTTTTTCCCTTTTTTTTTCTTTTTTCTTTTTGGTGTCAAGATTGTGCATTTTCGCTTGTTCTTAGCCACCTGGATTTCCAGCTGGATGTTGCTGTGATTCAGTCGGAAATACAGTGAGTGATCCTTACTTTCTTATTTATTGATGCAGAAAAAGGCCCTTTAATTTAGCGTTCCTGGTCCCATTCTCCCCTCGCCTTCCCCAGTGTGGTCGTTAAAGACATTACTAGGGAGCCTGGAATAAAAGAGAGGGTGGCCCACGCATTTGCTCCGGCACCCTGTGCTCAAGCAGAAGCTGGTTTGCTGCACCGATGCAGGTTGTCTGCACCCCGGGCAAATGCCTTTGCAAATGTTCACCAGGGGGGAAAACATCTCCCCAAGAAAGCCACTGCAGTGTGGGGTGCCCGTGCTGTGTGATTGACACTCCTGGATGCATTTAAGTTGCATGGCAGCCCCGGAGTTGGATGCACACATGTCTAGCCATTGGAAATCGAAGGGGCCTCATTTAAATTTCATTATCCAACCTGACACTGCAGATCAACCGAACGTATTAACGCAAAAAAATATGATCATAAACCCAGCAGATGAAGGATGGCTTTTGGCTCCTGGTGGATGGAGGGAGGAAGTGTGAGTATGGAGAGGAAGTGGTGGAGAGAGGTGGCTACACTTTCCCCAGCCTCTTTTGCTAACACATGCTCAAATGTGGCCCAGAGTACAGTGGGGCCTTGACTTACGAGTGTCCGGACTAACGAGTTTTTTGAGATACCAGCTGTCTCTCCGCCGATTTTTTGCATTGAGTTGATAGAGTAATTTGAGTTAACGAGCTCCTTAATGAGCTCCTTAACGAGCTCGGTCTCGGAACGAATTAAACTCGTAAGTCAAGGCCCCACTGTACCTCGATTCTTGCCAGGGCTAAGGATGAGGGATGGACCCACTTCTCTTCAACCCCATCTCCTTCGAACTCACCACTTCTTTGGATAACAGAGAGGCTGTGCCTAGATTGTAGATGGCTTGGGCAGTTGGCTCGGGTTTTGCCAGAAACCTTCCCCACATCACTGGGACAGGGCTCTTGAGAAAAAAAGCAGGAAGTGAGTATCCTGTGTGGTAACTTAGGTAAAGGAGCTAAAGAAAAAGTCTGCGTGTTGCATAGCAGTGCTTCTCATGTGACAGGTTTGTTTTGGGGGAAAGAGGCCAAGAAAGCAAGATAAGAAGAGGTGGGACATGCCTCGAGAGCCTGGGGGCCTGTAGGATCTCCCCTCTTTCCATCTCCTTCCTTTCTTTCATCTCTAGCAGAACTCTCCCCCTTCACCCTTCCTGATTCCTCTCTGGGGCCTTCTATCAGGATCATAGACTCATATAACTTTAGAGCCAGAAGACTCCTCAGAGATCTCATGCCAATAAAAAAAGGAAACCGAGGCGTAGAGAAGCTATAACTCTTTGGTTAATGGCCAAACCATATGGGACAGGTGACTCCCACAGGCCTCAGAACAGCACACAAATTCAGTTTGGAATCCAAACTGGATGGGAATCAGCCATACACGGTGCTGCTACTTCTGTCCCCACAGCTGCCATTTTTGTCTAAAAGGGTCAAGGAAAGTATCTGTCTTGAGAGCTCAAACTGAACTCCTGCCAGGCTGAACCTCAAGGCTAGCCCACCCCCAACATATATATCCGTTTTGAGTCTTTTTCTTTTTTAAATGGCTGAACTCAGATAACCCTCGCTTTAATATAATTTTTAAAAATGAGAGGATCCACGTCCACAACTCAGGCATATGCTTTAAGAGATAAAAGGCAGTGTTCTCCGGGGTCCCTGCTTGGTGTTGGGCACATTTAGACCAGTGAGTGGTGGTCCCTGGGGAGTCATTCAGGATCCATGGAGTTAGATTTATATTCGAGAGGTGATAATAGAAACCAGAAACACCCGGCTAAAAGCATCTGAGCCTGTTCTTCCACTCACATCATCTCTTCTTATCCTTTTCATTACTCCTTAACTAAACTAGCCTACAGCTGGGCACTTCTCTAATTTATTTTCCTGGGCACATGTTTTCTGTAGGGACACAGATCAGGCAATACATTCACCAACCCATGAAAATAATCATGTAGGGTTTTTCTGTGTCTCTCCTCCACCCCCCCCCCCAAGATCTCTGTAGGCTTTTGCATATCTTATTTATGTAAGATATGCAGTTTTTTGTTTGCCTTTTTATTTGTTTGTCTGTTTTATTTGCTTGTTTGCTCTGTTTTTACATGACCTCAGTTAATTTACCACTGTGCTCATAGACTGACTCAAGTTCCTGCTCAATTGCAACTTAGCACAACTGAGAAAAGAGAAAAAGAAAAAAAAAGAAGTGTGCTTTGACGTTTTTTACTGCGTAGTTCAGCTCTGGGCTTCACAGGAGAAGCCTGGCCTGGCCTCTGCCAATCAGGAGAGGTTTTTTCCTTTCCTTTCCTTTCTTCTTCTTCTTCTTTTTGACATACAATTTCTTCACTGCTACACCAATGAGACCTCTAAGTGCATTACTCTCCTTCACATTGTCACCCCCCCCCCCGCCCCACATTCACATACATGTGCAAGCTTTTCTGAATGAGAGGAGGAAGGGGTTGGGGGAGGGGGAGAGAGAGAAAGGGAGGGGGTGTGAATGTCTTTAAAAAATTGCAGGCCGCAATGTTTCCTCCCACCCACCTCCACTTCTGTGGGTTCCTCATATCTGGAGAGGATGGAGCACCTGAGGACAGCATTTTTCATCTGGTGAATGAATCACTCATTTCCCCTGCACTACAGTTAGGGACACATTGCCTGGTTTGGGATTTAGCTCCTTTGGTTTGGCAGTCAGACTTGGCTCTGAGTTTTAGGCAACGTGTTCATGCACTAATGGAAGAGTGGTGGCCACGGGAGACCTGGAAACTTACCTCCTGAGCTTATTTCAGAGCTCAACTTGAACTAACGTGTCTGAGTCGACAGCTGTGTACTGGGGTTCTGCTGAGGTCCAGGGGCCCAGAAACTGCTGGGTTTTGCAAGTTGTGAAGTTCCCTTTCTACATGACCTCCCTCCTCTAATTAACAGCTGTGTGCTTTGGGCCCCACCTTTCATTTCCCTGGCCCTCTGTCTTCTCCTCTGTGGGATGGGATTGATAATATCAACAAATTAGAATTCAGCTCAATTTGAATGATTTGGTGAATTAAGAGTAATGTTATGCAAAACCCTGAGCATAATAGGCCCTCTAAAGAGGGCTGTTTGTTATGGTTGTTCTGGGATTAATTTGGATTAACTTTCTGGGCATGAACACAGGCTGGCCAGACACTTTACCAGGTCTAGTGGCTACACTTGAGGAGGAGGGAATGTGCGACTGGCCTTGCAGTGATTGCCAGATTCTCCCTTTGAGTTCTTAACAGGACAGACTGGCCGCAAGAATCATTTCAGATTGAAAAGCTGCTTCAAGCTGGGAACTGGAAATCAAGATTTTCTCCTTAAAGCGTAGAAAACATACATCTCAGCAGAGATAATACTTAAATGAGATTTTCAGGGGAAAATAAAGACTCTTACTGTGTTGCAATTATTTTGGTCTCAAAGTTGCATATGACAGATTTTGCACATCCAATGGATAATTTTAGCTGCATATTACATCATCGGGACCTGGGCTGCACAGAATAAATGCAGATTTCTAGGCAGTACTATCATTTAAATTATATGGCATAAAATTCCATTCCTAATATTAAGGCCTTCAAATTCACAATTTGGATTCACTGTCAGCCTTCCTTGTTGTAATGAGTTCTGGGTTAGTTAAACATCTTCTTAGTTAAACTTTGTGATCTGATAAAGGCCTGCTGGTTTTTGGAATCAAGACTTCATGTAGATACAAGTGTCTTATTGTTTGCATGTGCAAATCTTCCAACACCAACTCCATAATGGTTTTCTGAGGCAGCCCGTCCTGGTCTCTGCTCATCATTTCATCCTCTACAACAGCAGCTCTGTGCTTTGTCCATTCCCTCAATATGCCCCCAGAGACCTGTTCCCTCTTGAGGGAAAAAGGGTCCTACCATTTTAGTTGCTTTATTCATGATGATGGCCTCTGTAGGTTAGATCCATGTAGTCAGGCGGAAGAGTTGCCCATTGGACTCTTATACTGCTTCTTTTCAATTCCAAAGTCCATTTGAAATCTGTGTTCATTTTGGAAAAGTATCCTAAAGTTAACCATCTTCACTGATCTTAAGAAGACACCATCTACGGACGTCCTTACCATTTGATAAATTTTACCTTTTAGTGTGCTTCAAAAATATGTCTGAGAAATTCGGTCAACTTGGACCGTGGCATCCTAAGTGAGTTCGAATGCTCATCTTTCCACTGGATCACGTGTGGCATATGCACCATTTAACCTCTCTGAGGCTGCATGCTTATCTGTAAGAGAGAGGTTGTAAAGAGCCACATGGAATTTGTCAGATTATATATGCCAGGCACAGGAGGCGTTCAATAAATTGGGCATCTCTGATTTTAGTCCAGGGAATGCACAGTTTGCAAAAAAAACAAGTCTGATCTTGTTTGACAGAAGCTGTTAATCTAAAACCATGTTGGCATAGACAAGTCACAAAGGAGAAATACATAGAGGGGATCACGGTTGGCGTAATGCAAACAGGTGCAACCCTTTTTGGTAAGGTCCTGTACTTTTAAAGCACATTTGGGAGTGCTTTGGTGAATGCCCTTCCCTCAGGGAACACGGGAATATACTTTGTGAAGTGTGGAAAACATACTCCGTTTTCTAATATTTTCTAATATTTTCAAGTATTTTCTAATACAGACATAAAAAAGGTGATGGTTTTTCAGTGGTTTTTGGAAGATTCTCCAAGAGGAATCAAGGACCTGTTGCACCTTCCTTCAAAATGACTTCTCTGGAGAAGGGTCAATTCGCCAGTTGAAACTTGGTTGGGCAGGTCTCATGGCGAAGATAGTGTGCTTGTAACACTCTCCGAGGGCAAGGATTTCATTTCTGCTCTGGTCTGTCCTCAGCCCCTCAGAGAAATGTTTGAGAAATACTGTGCCTGCGATAACTATTCCCTGACTGATTGAGCTCACTTTAAGAGACATTTCTTCCAAAAGACTCAAATGCAGGTATATACCCATGCA